GGGGTCTGCACAGCAAAGCTCCTCGCTGCCCATGAAGTGCAGATTTGGGGTGCCCTCCGGCCCCACCTCGGTTTCAGCACGAAGAAGACACCTCCAAAATTCGAAATAGATGAGCCCTGGTACTCCGTCATCATCCATGGGACACCTATGCACCCCAACCGTTCCCCTGATGCGATGAAACGCTGACTATCAGGACAAGGGTGTAATGTAGTAATATGTAAATCAGCACTTAGAGCACTAATAACACAAATCCAAACGATAAACGGTGCGAGTACGGGGATCGGACCAAGTATTAGGTCTCTGGTTGTGCTAAATATAAGTAATAGCTATTTACGCGTAAATACTGATATGATTCAATTAGCCGATCTTGGGTCTCAGATGAGGTCTAGAGGAAGCCAAGAGGTGTTTTATCTCATGGGGTGGGTGGATTAGTCCTGAGACTTTGTTATCCTTTCAGTGTTCTCGGTCCCTTATGATTCTGTTCCGTGTTCTATCAAATCCCTTTGCCTAAATCCTTATGAAACCCTTATGAAACCCTTGTGAAACCCTTATGAGTCCGTTCCGTGGTCTGTTTCCTCAAGATTCTAGTGCGAGATGTGATCCAACAACCAATAATATATTGACCGAAATAACTAAAAGAACTCTACAAGTTCCAAGAGGTACTCCGAATGAATACAAGGCTTCCCAAGCGACAATACCAGCAGAGCTGAATACGTCTAGCAAGAAGGGGTGAATTCACTGCCTTCCCTCTCTGAACCTGCCTGTATTTATATAAACGGGTGACACAACATGCAGGACTAATAAATATAGTAATAGTACAGGATAATTAGCAACGAACATGCAATGAACACGAACGGATAATAAAACGGTTAAATAGATACTTTGTTCCGAGACCTGTGTTCTGTTTTGCTTCTAATCCAAGAGATGGCATCATATTATGATGTGGATTTTACCTGTGTCCAGCCCTCTCTGCAGAACCACGGTTAAATTGTCATATAGTATGACTGTTATATGTCGAGTCAGGCCAAGGCCGAGGAAGTCCGACCTCGGAGTTCGCGGTTTCTCGCAACACTACAAAGAATAGAGTGAGCGACTATTCGGGTCCGCAGTTCCGCACAAGACTATAGTCTGGAGTCACGGAGTTCGGAGTTCGGAGTTGAAGTCCGAATAGAGGATGAAGACAGAGGCTCGACCAACGCCGAGATAGCGAAGAAACAATCAATAATCAAACTGAACTACAAAACATATCTAACTAGCTTTTAAAACTAAGTACGCTATTGTCTATTGAATACAATAGCGTGCGAGATATTGGTAAGTAAGAAACGTTAAACAATAAGGTAGCAAGGTGACTTAGTAAGGTTAAACAATAAAGGACCTCGGGCTTGGTAAGGATGCCCGAGAAAGAAGTCGGACTAGACAATAAGGCCTCGGAGAAATACAAGTCCGTCGGCCCGATGAGTAATCAGTGATTAGAAGGGAAACGCTCAGTAGACCTTCATAGCGTGAAAACCCTCTCGGGAATTGCCGGGCCGGGCCGGCCGGGCCGACAAAGCACGGATATAACAATGACTCCTGGTATGGGAAAACGGATAAACTAATCCAGCACTTGAATGATGGAGGTAGTGGATCAATCTTCCCTAGACAACGACTGTGTTACCCAATCCAGACCTCGGTCCAAGCGCTGAATATCAAACATGCTGTGGATTGATCCGTCGGCTACCGCCGGACTGTTCGGGCCGTGTTCCCACTTTAGCAAAGGTTCCTTTGTTCGTTGATTCCCAACCCCACTAGTGTACTTTCAGGTGTAATTCGTAGTCAGAATGGATGGTGTGTGTATGTCCTTGGTATAACACTTTATCTCTGTCCCAATTCGATCAAATGGTTGGACTTTGAATTACACGTAAATACATAGCAGCTCCCCAGGCCGTTGACCCTCGTGGTATCAGTGACCTGACAAGTCTTTACTATGTAACTAGAGGCATAGTGCCTTTAGCCAACAGATCGGACCTCTCTATGGCTCTCTATGGGCAAGATATTGATAAACCCTGGTTCCACTTTAGTAAGTGGAACAAGAACACAGAAATTGGTAAATTTCAGGCTTGGCCATTTTGCATGCTTATCAGTGATTACTCTGGCGAGCATCTAGTATTGGTTCGGTACAAATGAACTTCCCGGAACAGTCATGGCCTATTCAATTCTATGCACCGTGGACGATTTCGAGACTTGTGATTCTCTTTCTGTCCGTATACCATTATCATCCGAGGCCAACGCACTTCACCTCGTCAAGAATGGTGGCACCTTGGTGCTATGTGCAGAGTTTCACGTTATGTGCCGAAACCCCCGCTCCACTCCCTTCCATGACGATCCTCCCCCATGCCTTCCTCTTTTACCTACTTCTCCTTATACTTTCTAACTATACTAGATGGCCATAGGCCGAGCTTATTTTGCGGGACATCCCTGCTAAGGGCGCGCTCTGTGTGCCCTCAGTGCTGCCGCATTTTCACATCATACAGAGCAGATAGCAACAACTTTCAGTTAGATATTTACCACGTACAAGAGAGATCCCTACCATATCGTACGCGACAGAGGGGAGTTGATTGAAAAAAAAAAAAAAAAAGATACCCGCCCAACAGCTTTCTTACAACTATGGGCCCAACCAAGGGAGCGACCAAAATAAGTGAGAAATCCAGCTCCTACTGATGTCTAATTTTTGGTTTTCCTCGGCGAGTTACGGAAATCCTCGGCAAATGACTCGTGCGTTCCAAACGTGCATTAATGAGTCCTGAAATACGTCGGGTTGCTTCTCAGAATGAATATGAGTGTCTACTTGAATGCCAAAAAGAAATTAGAAGCAGGAAAACATTTCAAAGTTGCAACAGACCTGGATTAACTAGCTGTCGGTGCGTAGACCCCATCAATGATCCACAACTACGGCCGCCCAAATGGATTCCTTCCATCTTTTCAACGTAGACGTTGTTCGCTGGGCTCAGCTGAGGGCACAATACTCGCTTGTTCGACCTTGCCGTCGACTTGCCGTTCACGTGTATCAAATTGAAGGCGAAATAATACACCATAGGACCTGGATTTCGCGATAGCGTTACTCGTTGCCGCTTGGGCCCAACTAACCCCTGCCTTGGGTCCGGCTCAGCTCTGGCCCAAAAGCTCGGGCCCAGGGTCGGGTCCGGTCTTTGGGCCTGACCACTAACCTGGGCACCTGGTTCTGATGTTCAGACTTCAGTGACCATGTGAAACATCGACACCGTTTATCTCTCATCTCCATCGCTTCCGCGACATCTGCAAGCGAGTCAAGTAAATAAGCGGTTGATTCTGTCAATTTGGGATCTCGCTGCTTCCCGGAACCGGCGTTCCTTGCCGATACCGTGCGTGTAAACCCCCTATCTACTTACATACAGTACATAACCCAATCGGGAGTTGATCGGGAGCAAATGTTGAACCTGTGGGATGTTAGACAAGCTGCGCTATGCTTAATGCCCTTTCTGCATTAAGCAAACAGGGGACTAATTGGCCGGGAACGTATACCCCCCCTCGCCCAATGGATAACGAACTACCAGGATCTCGGGAATGGCGCTGTCGTCGACTAATGCCGATCAGAACCATCAAAATACCCCGCAATATATTCATGGCCGTCGGCTTCCAGCCTCGAGAACCGGTGCTTCAGAAACAAAATCGACCCTTGATCCCGATTCAATCAGCCGCTTATTTCCCCTCGTTTCTCCATGACCCCACGACCAACCCCGCCTTCTCGATTGAGCATCTTCGAAATATCTCCGCGTAGTTATGGGATAGCCGAATACATAGGTCCAGACTCTCGGACCATGTGCTACAGAACTCATAGGTAATAGTATTCGGGAGACCTGGTTGGGTTGGATGCCCGTCCAGGTGCTCGGCAAAGTAAGGGCTAGAATTGATACGGAATGGGAATCTGAATGGCATAGTAAGGTATGCTGCTTCTAGAAGAATTCAAGAAATTCTGACGGAACGGAAACATTGTCTATTGGGTTTGACAGCACCACTGAATACTATTGCTTCGGTCTCGAGACTGGAGAGGAGAACGAGACGATGAGTTCATCTCGTGGATATACATGAACTAACTTACTGAGATTGGGAAAGTCCTTTGAAGTTTGAACATCAACCCCCTCGTGCGTCCCCTCGGGTTCGCAACTGCAATCTTAAAACCTTCTCGAATTCCTGCACCAAAGGAGGCATCGGCATTGAATAAATACCACACATTCTGTGCATTGGTTTGGAAGATCATTATTCTGGTCGGGTAGTTCGCTTTGGTCAAAATTCCGCTTACTCGAGCCGTGCCAAAACAATGGTGATATTGCAGCCCCCCCGACTACCTTTGGATAGAGGGATACCCACAGACATTAGGCCTCAACTCTAGCTCTAGAACAAACAACAGGAGAGAAATGTGCTACCGATTGGACATGTCTACGCTCACTCTACCCAGTGAAATCACCCCGGAATTACAGTACCATCCACCTTCCATGCTCTCCAGCTCCACGGTTTGGAGAGGAGTTGTGATTCCCCGATCAAATTTCTCTTACCAGTTCTGGACACTCATATTGTCAACTTCTCACTTTTGGACACCAAGTTTTTTATTGGGGAGTTGTACGTCTCGAACTTTGTTCACTGGGTTTTTGAGAAGTGGCCCGAGCAACTCACTCACAGAGATCCACTCCCAGATAGAGACCCTCCACTAATCTTCTCAAACCGTGATAGAAACATACCGGTCGTTGTGTACGAACACTTGATCTCGAAGTCGATAAACAAGTGACTAGCCCTAGCCCCTTTTCGGACTTGGTGCAATTTTTCGTCATGTTGCACTAGGGCTAAATATCTTTTTTGTGAAGAAAATATCCATAACTCGTAGCCCTTTTCGTTTTCGTTTTTACTAGCCCCCATCGTTTGACGCTTTGACTTTAAGCAATTTCGCCTTTTGACCGAGGTTTTGATTAGAAAGATGTTTTTTTGTGGCGCCGGTGGTGTATCGGTAACATTGGGTCTTCCCAGAACGACTCCAAACTCTGGCCTAGCACCGGGTTCGACTCCCGGCCGGCGCACATTCTTTTCCTTTTTTTCTATTTTGAATCCTAGTTGGTGTCCTTGAAATGCCTGAACACACACAGGCGCGTCGCTGTTAAATGTCCGGGTGCCACTGCATCCCGATCATAACGCTGCTGACGTCATTGGCTATGTTGGGGCCTCCTCATGGTTATTTTTATGGTAACAAACAATGCCAGGTGAGAGAAACGTCAAGAAACTAGCACTAACCATCGGCACACGATGTCCATTCAGAAATGAAGAAGGTGGATCCAGCTCACCAAATATTGGACCACAGACGCGCCAGTTTACGCTGCACCCGGCAGGATCCCCCAGGAAATCTTGGCATCTCAAATGCAGGGGGAGGGTGTAGACGGAGGTCAATGAATGCACGTACAGTGGCAGGGGAATGCCGATCATCTAGAAGCTCATCTAGAGGCTCAGAAAGTTGTAAAACGGTATCAGCCCCCGTTCCACAAAGTCAAATCACACCGCTTTCGGCATTTCAAATGCACGAGGAGGAGGAGGATGTAGATAGAGGACGTACAGCGGACACATAGACAAGACAGGGGATGCCGATGGAGGCTCAGAAAATCGTAAACCGGTCTCATTCCCTGCTACAGCGAAACTCGGATGCCCGCCCTGGAATCATGAAGATCCACAGCGGCACTTTGGAAAAAAAGGCTCGCCTGAGGGCGGAGTATTTCGACACACTCCTATATCCGAGAAAGCATATATACGAAACCCAGACGATTCCCGAAAGACGGCAAATACACCTCCTCTCCATTGTACAAGGCGACCGTGAATCCTGGAAGAATACAGCCGCCGAACATCCCTTCGATCCTGCGGGAGGTATACGGCCCAGTCGTATCTCTTTACTAGATCGATATCCCGCCGAAGGTCTATCACAGTACGGTCAGCAAGTCATCAGCATAGCATAGAGCTCACGCATTTACCAGAAGGGAGGGTGCCGTTAGTGTGGACAGGACACCCGTGCTCGTGGACACACCGCGGTCAGCTGGCAGTTTGGGGAAAAGCGCCCGCAGATCTGAGTTGAGCGCCGTGGGGATACGACCGACGGTGCGTACGGGGGCGTTCGGGGCCGATTCCGAGGTAATTTCAGTGCTCGGGTGGGTCTCTTCGTCTATGGATGGCGGTGGCAGGAAGAAGGCTGAGCGCTGTCGTGACATGCCAGCCTTATCCCGTTCTAAACATACTGCCAGCATTGGCGTTGGGCATCTTTGCACTGGATGGATGTACTTAACAGCGAGCCTCCGGGACCGCTGGCACATCCGGTCGACATCCTTGGTTTGCTGAGCAGTGAGGCGGGAGGGCGGTTGAAGGGCACGACCCTAAATCCGAAAAGACTCGTATTTCGTTTCTCCAATATACATACCCACTCGCGTAGGTCGAGGTGGACCTGAGGACTGGAGCGAGCGGTGAGAAAGCGGTCTCGTCAAATAAGAGCTTGTTTAGCCACCCCCGATCCGCGCTTGCAATGCAGGATCGAAACGCTTGAAGCTTGTTTTTAATATCGGAGCCTTCCACAGTCGACGGCTGATGCTGATGGTGGATCCCCGATGCGGGTCTAATCGATAGAAGCCGGCTCGCTGTGGTGGGATACGGACAGGCCCGGGTACACACAGGTTCAGAGATAACCGGTGCGGGAAATTACAGGCTAATGAACGAACGTTCCGTGTCATGTATTGTCGGTCTAGTGCTCACACGTACATGCCGAGAGAATACTACGCGCCCGGCGTTTATGTGGACGAGAGCTTGAAGTGTGCGTCATGGGCGGCAAAAGATCGGTTATCGCCAAGTAAAAATTGCGGACGTTGAGCGCGGATGCCAGACAGACTGGTGTAATGGTATCATGTCTGGGGCCTCCAACCGACGCTAGCGCAAGTCGGCCGGAAAACCTCGAGCTATGCGGTCGCAGGGAATGTCGGCATATGTAGGCGGCGAAAAATCGGTATCGCCACGTAGAAGGCCAAAGGGTGGGCCGATTCGATTCGTTTGAGGGGTTTCATGGTACGGACGGCGAACGCGGCGCGCGCGGCAGGGTGGACCTCGGGACGTTTGACGTGGTCACAGACATTGAGACAGGGTAGAGATCCAGGTGGCATGATTTAACGACGTCCTGAACGGCAACATGAGCGCCGAACATCCAGGTTGCTAGCTTTGTAGGAATGCTGAGCGCTGAGCCTGAGCCACAGACAGGGACAGAAAGAAGGCGCACGCGCGCCTATTGTTTGCGGCAATTTTCCTAATCGGGTATCGTCTTCTCGCTCATAAATGGGTCTTATGAATCTGGCTCCTGTCCACGTCTCATTTCCCTCCCGATGCCCCACAGATGTCTACCCTCAATACCGACGATGTGGCCCCATCTCCCGCTTCGACCCCGACTGGAAAGCTGAGAGCCCAGCTGAATAATCTTCTTCTCCCCCGCCACGCCCTCTTCTCGGTCCACGTTACGATCCACCAGCTCGCCAACGTCCCACTCTTGAACGGCGAATTCGGCGTCCGGTGGCGGTTCAAGAACACGAAAAAGGCCAAGGGGAAGGAGCGGGCCAAGTCGGAGCACGAGGACGGCGATAGAGACAGCTTTGGCAGCGGGGACAGCACCGAGGAGCCACAGACGCTGGGTGTGCCGTCCCACAGCAAATTTGCATCTGCGGCGTCGGAGTCCAGCGTCTTTATCGCAGATTATGCCGAGGAAAGCACCTCTGCGCGGGGACAGACGCCCTGGGTGCCCCTGCGCAACCACTCGGTCGTCTGGGAGCAGCCCCTCTCGGCCGTGGTGCAGATGTCCATCGACCGCGAGACCCACCAGCTCCTCCCGCACCCGTTCAAGCTCACCGTCCAGCAGCGCGTCATCGCGCACGACCCCGATGCGCCGCAGAACCCCCGCCTCGGCGTCGTCGAGCTCGACCTCGCCCAGTACGCGGACAGCTTCCCCGCGCCGGGCGCGAGCAAGGGCGTCGTCACCCGCCGCTACCTCCTCCGCGACAGCAAGACAAACGCGACGCTGCGCCTCTCCGTGCGCGTCGAGCCCGCCGGCGCGCCGCCGCCGTTCGCCGCGCCGCCACTCCCCGCCGGCGAGATCCTCGCGGGTGTCGCGACCCTCCTCTCGACGCACTCGGACGTGTACCGCACCCGCCCGCGCGCGCTGGACCTGTATGCGCCCGTCGACGACGACGCCCCCTCAAGACGCACATTCGCCGCGCACACCCTCCCGCGCGCCTACGGCCCGCGCCCCACCGAGTCCCTCATCGACGCGATCTTCAACCCCGCGCCCGTGCGCGACGAGCGCCTCGTGGGCCCGTTCACGCGCCTCGTCCCCAGCGCGTCCGCCTCGGTTGCGTCCCTCGGCAGCGCATCGTTTGGGATGGCGACGGACTCGTCGGAGACGGCGTCGTTTGGGATGACGGAGTCGTCGTCTGCGGCGTCGCTGCGCAGCGTCCCTGCGAAGAGCGCGCTTGTGCCGAGCCCGAGCGCGCCTGCGGGACTGAGCCCCGAGAGCGCAGAGGGCCGCTCACACCGCTGGTGGATGCCCATCCGCGACCGCAGCAGGAGCAGGAGCCGCGCGGGGACGCGTGTTGCGGTGGCATAGTCTTTCGCTTTTCTTGCAGTCTTCCCCGTCATCCATTCATCCGGTTTATCCTCTTCCTTGTATCATTATAAACTCTCCGTGTAATTCATGTGTACTTTAGTAGATTGAGACTTTGGATAGAATGTACAATAAACGCTTTGGGGTTCATACGACCAGGCGTAGCGGCCCAAGTTCTATTTTTAGGTGACATTTCGTGTCATTAACCCTCGAGCACCGCGCAGGACCACTGGGGGCCCAAGGTCTCATTCGGTTTATGCTGCTCAGTTCGAATCCAGTGAGCACGCCAGCCTCGTTTTTCGACCACGCTATTGACAGCATGAGGTTCTGCATCGTGGTCGACTGTAAGTGTAGTGGCTTGCTGAAATTTCATTTCGATAATGAAATGTCTCCTAAACGACTTAACAACTCAACAACGCATCAACGCGCCCCGCGCACCCCGGTCCCGGCCCGCGCTCGCCTCCCCCACTATCATCTTGCCCGATAAGGAAATTTTTCGCCGGCGGCCGCCGCCCACACGTAGGTAGATGTCTATGTGGATACATTCTGTGTTAGAGCTATGGCGGAGTGGTTGCCTGCATGTATGTGTGTTTATTTAATCTGTCGGTGCGTCTTGGGTTCGAACCCGGCAGCTGTGCTTTATTTTACTTTATCCCACCAGCCTAATTTTTTCGTCCCTCCTTTCCGCATTTGTGACGGCCTGCGCAGATGAGGTCGCTAATGCACTTTGCCTATGTGCAAAAAAATGCACTCATCTACATCCGATGTTTTTTTTTGGGTGCTCCTGAAAGGGTAGAATGTTCCAAATCCCACTTGTCCAGTTGAAGTTGTTCTCTACAACTACTTCTCTCATTTGATCTGGATATGTAACTTTGACCCTACCAATCTGCTCTGGTAAACCTCTTTTTCAGTGGGTTTTACCATCCTTTGTCTTCTTCATACGGCAGGCTTTAATTTAAGGGGGTTAGAGATTGAATGCCATGCCCTGTCAATCTTTTTCATCGACCTTTATGACTTAGCAAAGTTCCTCCTCTTTGTTCCTTTTTATCATGTCTACTTTAATGTGTAATGGAGTCAACCGACTCCGTCTCAAATTATTCTTCGTTGAGAAAAAGGACTGCACAACCGGGAATCGAACCCTGTCGACATCAAGAGATCACGTGAGGTGATTGTGGGGGGAGCGCAAGGGGGGTTCCCGGTCCCCGCCAACCTCGGGATCACCATGCAGGTATGCCCCTCTTTTTCGGTATGGGTGAGAGCAAGGGTGGGAGCCACTGAGACTGTCGGTTGATGAAACCCCGGTCCCGTGAGCAGCGGACGCCCTCGATATGGCGAGTAGCGCCACGTCGATGCCATCGATACCGAGCATCACCGGGCAGCAGCAGATAGTGCGCCTCGCATGCACAAGCG